CGTTATATGGCCATAAATTATCTTCAACTTGCAATTCCTGTTCTTCCTCGATTTCTGGTAAATCGTCTTCGTCTGCTTCTTCCAAGAGTTCTCGGTAACGCTACCAGCAAAAACATATAAATTATTTATTGGTCTGCCTGTGGCAAAGCTTAATCTAAAAATGAGCGGCGTCGTCTGAGTAGCTTTTCACTCAGCCAAGAAAGCAATAGATCACTGCTGCCCAATACTCGGCTAGTATATAGGAGTCTTGTTCTGTTTCATTTACAGGAAAACTATTCGCGAACCTGTATTGGCGGTCACTAACGACCAAAGTCCCGGAAATCATTTTTCTTAACCATTGTAAAACTGACCTGTATTGAGCGGTTGCAGTCACCTATTCCGAATCCCAGCGAGTTATTTGTCGTGCGGATTGTCTTTACCTTTATTCAACGGTCACATGTACCATAATAGTGCAATAGATAAACTATGCATGGCGTTCAGCGGCTGTTCAGCTTCCTTTCTTTTGGTACAAGAAGCGCTAGAAACACTGGTAGGTCAATTCGTGATAGAAATTTCGCTTTATCGCCATCTTTGCTTTGCGGATAAACTCTCAGACAGATTTGTTAAACCTGTATTTCACGGTCAACATGTATATAACGGTGATGTTAGCCATTCTCCAAGGGTTCACTACACCGTCAACACAGGATTGACGATATATATGTTCTCAGTTGACCACAAACCCCATTATTTCTTCATTGAATATCATCGGCTGGTGAATTGCACAAAGTACCAAAACTGAAAGGCACTTTGAATTTATAATTACGTTTTACCTAATTAAAAATCAATTACCTCTACAGCTGCATAAAGAAGAATAAAACTCACAAACTCCGTTATGTCTACCCTGAGTCGCATCAGGCTTCTCCACGATTTCACAAAATCTGTTAAACATAAAATCATACATAACGTTATCCTCGGGTGAGATTTTTCTATTTAATTAGCTTTGGCTCTTTGATTCTTTCTTCACCAAAAACGATTCTCGGTCAATGTGATCGCTGTTAAGTGAGAAAGGGCACGCTCGACATTTTTCTGCATGCCAGTGCTCACATGACTGTAATAAAAGTGAATGAATAAATGAAGTACCCTTTAAAAAAAAAAAAAGACTATCTTGAACCACAACATATATACCTGTAATTTTAGCTCATTACGTTGATCATAAGCCACGTAGAAAGCCTAACCATGTTCTGACATTAACTCTGTTCAAGATAGTTTTCTTCCCGGCCAGTAGCCTGTGCACAGACGTCTCCCTCCCTTCTGAGGGAGGGGGGACGCTTGTACACAGGCTACCGGCCAGGCACAAGCTTGAAGTCAATATTGAATACAAAGTGAATGGTTATAACCAGGCATCAGAGTCATGATTCATTCTTTCTTGATTGAAAGTGTTCGTCCAGACGTAGTTCAGGAACTGTTACAGTTACTGGCTTGCGGCACGCGACATACAAACCGGCGTAAAGACGAGCATTATGGATTGTTTGATATATCTTGAAAAACGGTTTGTGTCCAAGACATTTGTTTTATTACATTCATCAACGACCTTTTAGACAATACATTTACTCATGAACTTTTAATTGAGTGCTGCGCCGTAAACAACACTTTTCGTTCGATCCGTTGCTCAAAGTGATTGACTTTTTGACAATCTGCTCGGGAGTCGTTATCAGTCAGTTGTATGTCGGGGCATGTCAGTTGTGATGCGTCAGTAACCATGGTTTAAACTCAAGATCTCTCACAGTAACTCCTTGTAAGACGTTTACGTTTTCTAAAATTATCAACGTATTTGGATACACGAAAAAATATATTCAAAGTTGCACTTACCACATGATCTACCGCCAGGATTAGCTTGACATCTTACGTAGAGTGAATACACAGTATAGATTACAAAGAAGAGGGTAATAATCTTCTTAATTTCATTCATAAAGTACTTTGTAACATCAGCGGTTTTCTGAGTAGCAGCTTAATGATCAGTAAACAAAGTTTCAAGATCGCTTAACTAATTCATGTGGCAGAAGTAGCAAACAGCTGAACCAACTATTTACGTTATGAACGCGCGAGGTTGTCAAATTGCGCATCACCCCTGTGCATAATTCTTGCGTCATCTTCGAGCGCGTGCGCATTTTGAACTTTGAAGATTTTCAACTGTCATCAACTAAATGTTTCTTCTTTCCTTAGTAAGTCAGTCGTAACACCTTGCCTCTCGTTTATCAATAACTATTTTTCTGTATCTTTTTTTTTTCAAAGGCACACTCAAATTTATCACGCCGGGTCAGCTTTACGTCTGAAACTGCACTTTGGGAACTACTTCAGTTTACAGTTCTTATCCGTTTGAACCTAAAGTTTGCAGGATGGTAGAACTTTGTACTCAAACAATAATCCTATGCTTTTTGTTTTTTCGATTTTAAAAGGTGTTTGGAAGGAAAATGACGTCACATGATTGACAGCAAAATTGAAAGTGCAAGTAGTGACGTAACAAGTAGATAATTTTTAAACAGCACAACGGGACAGAAACAAGTATGGAAAATGTTTTTGAAAAGCTCAATTGCTTTAGGAGATGTAGCGTTTTGAAATGTGCATATGTTTCTAAAAATAGCAACAATATGGCGGGAAATTCAAACATCATAGCTTGATAACTTCTCAACCAATGGAGCTTTTCAAAAAAAATTCACAATTCATAATGTCACGTCGTGCTCTTGAAAAATTATTCATTTTTTACATCATTAGTTGAAATTTTAATTTTGCTTTCAATCATGCGACGTCATTTTCCCGCTAAAGCCGTTAAAATCAAAAAACAAAAACATCCGATTGTGTAGAATACAAAGTTCTATCATCCTGCAAACTTTGTGCTCAAACAGATAAAAACTGTAAAAGTAGTTCCCAGTCAATCTGCATTTTCAGGCGTAAACCTGACCCGGAGTGATTCTGATATAAAGCGCACAGTCACTCAAGCAAAGCTGCGTGCTAATTTAAAGGCGATGTTGCACGGGACGATTCGCAACGACGATTTTTATCGCAACACAGCGTTGCTTGCAATGTTGGAACAACGTTGTAACCATTCGAAACAATGTCACAACAATGTTGCAACGCTGGGTTGGGCTAAAAATCGTCTTTGCGAATAGTCTCGTGTAAGATCACCTTAAGTTTAGTCAGTGTGTGTTTTGGAAAATTCATTTACCATGTTTGAGTTTATTGGCGTATACTAACAAATAAGATTAAATGGGGCATTCGAAAAGTCTCCTTGTAAAAAGGCTAAAATGCTCTAAGAAACCCCCCACAATCATTCACAGTTAATTTGGTATCCTTTACTTTCACAAGATTACGGCTGACCCTGCAGAAGACCAGTTGCACCATGCCAAATATTGGCCTGGTAGAAAGGTCGTTTCGCCATAGTACAAGCCTCTGCAATCAAATCTGATAACAATATAAACCCAATGTAATGAAAATAAAGCCAAAAAATTCAAAGCTTCATTACCAACAAAGATTAATATCGGTGCTGCTTTTCTATTTACTTCACCACAAGATTGGTTATTTTACTTCAGTTTCGGTTTCCCTGTAGTGCAGCATTCAAAAATTTAATATCTTTTTCTTTTTAATGGTGGGCCTACTTTTCAGTTTGCTGAATAACTCAGTAAGAATTTTGCCCTAAAGTGACAGTTATGTATATTGGTCATCAATATTTAAAATCGGTTTAAAAGAAGAGGAAATGTGGTTGTTTGTTTTCTTAATGATAACTACATCATGTTTTTTTTTTAAAAAATTTATCTATTTTTACTGGGCTCTCTTGTCCTTTTTCAATTTATAAATATAAATATAAAAAATGATTTAATTCTTGATTTTAAAAATCCAAGGAAAGCTCATCTTATTTTGACACTAAACTTTTCTCTCGTATCAGTGCCCTTAAAATAAAATTCATGAAAAAAAAAATCTCGATTTCATTTCGATCATTTCGTAAAACGAGGGAAAGCAAATTAGTCAGATTACTATTTTTCGGGTAGCGACAAAATACACTGAAAATGGAACTGAAGAGGTAAAATACAAACGTTCAGCATTTCACTTATCAAAAACCAAATTCAAACTGGACTATGAATTAAACTGTGCTTCTAACGTCTTACGAAAATTCAAGAAAGAATTTTGTCTCACAAAAAGAAACTGGACTTTCATCTAAATGACTTACATGGCCAGCGCGATTGGGACTGGGCGTAGTCTGTTGATTCTTTTTACGAGACTGCTAATTATTGAAAAAGCTTTCACTAAAATTGCTCCATCATATCATTTTACCTAAGAAGTAGCTAGGGGTAGTTAGGAAGGCTGTGTTACGTAACGAAATTAACTAAGTTTTGCCTTCGGAGAAGTGCTTTATTTCAAAGAACACTGAAACATACTTTTTAATTAACTGTTATCTGAAGTGTTATAGGACATTTTTTGAAGTTAATTAAAACACAAACAGTGCCAGTTTTTTAAACAATTTTGAGCTCAAGCAGAACTTCTTTCACAAAATACAATAAGATACGTAATGAACGTTTATTTAATTAAAACCGCTGTGAATTATAGTTAGGTTTCCCTCTTTGAAAGCCATTTTAGACACTTGTCTTACGACAGAGGATCGAGCCGATCAAACAAGCTGCAGAACGGTCAAGGCGTACCTTCTTTCTATGAACCTCAAACACATTATAGTTGTTTTTACGTTTTACCTTTCGGCGGAAAATGAAACCAGAAGATCCATCTCTGCCATTCAATTGTAAAATGGTGATAGTAGTTCTGATTATCATTGTAGTTTTCGAAATTGAGAAAACCGAAGGTTATCAGCACATTTACAATGAAAGTCAGGGATCATCTTTTGGGGTAAAGGAGATAGAAGAGTCAGATGAAATGCCAATACCAGTTGGTATGTTTGATTTTTTACCAAAGTTGCTCTTTTCTGGTCAGTTTTTGCTTGCTTCTAAACGTTCTATCTCACGAGATTTTAGCCTTAAAAAATTGCGAATAATTTATTTGTAGAAACAAATGACGGGGATTTTGTTGTGAAGTTTCAAGGAAGAAATGTGAGTCTTATAAGCCTGATTGAGCGTCATCGTAATCTTAATATCACGCCGTTTCAGATTGAGGTCTTCCTTGAAAATGTGAACAACCACAAGCACTTAGGGACACACTCGTGTGAAGGCAGGTGTTACGTAGAAGAAAGAAGCCATTCCAAAACTTGTTATTGTGATCTGCCTTGTGTTTCGTGGGGTGATTGCTGTTTGGATTTTCACTTGAGGTAAATATCACACTGTTTGTTTGTTTTTTGTTTTTTTTGTTTGTTGATGCCACGAGCTTTGGGTCGCAGTTTCGCAAATCAATATTTAAACGTTACAAAACACACAAGGTTCACGCGTCAACACTAATACTTTTTGCATCGTTATATTTTTTACCATCCCCACAAACACAAAGCCGACTGAAACGCCAATGCGCAAATTCGTGTCATGCCTGAACGTTTTTGGAGACCTTCTTTCCTACACGTCTGCACTAAAGCAACACCGAACCTTTCATGTTTCAAAGGGTTATTCGTCAACTACCACACTAATATCACATTGCGTTAAGGTGGGCTCCGTTAACTTTATTCTTTTGCATTTGCAGGTGTGGTACATTTAGAAACGCGCGAATTGATTCATCATTTCGAAATATGACATGCGAGGACTTGAGTACTTCTTCATGGACAGCTGGAGTTATAATGAAATCTTCTTGCAGTTTACAGCCAAAAAGTCAAGACACGAACGAGTGCCAATCCATTCGAGATCTGAATATGACACTGGATAAAGAATTGCCTGTGTTTGACAGGAACAATAATGTAACATACCGTAGCATTGCTTGTGCGAAGTGCAACAACGCAGGAAACCTTTCGTTCTGGGGTCTAGAAATAGCGAATTGCCGGAGTCAGAGTTTAGAGTCGCTTCAAGCCAATGTTACAGCGATCAAAAGGTTTCTGAAAGAAAATGACCAGTGTTCGTGGCGATATGTACCGCTTTCAAACCTTAAACAACCTTACAAGAGATGTATTCCACAGGACATGGTTTGTGCTTCTCATCAATTACCAGTCATGTCTGTAATCAGGAAGTTATGTTCCTCTTATTCTATGCCGATCATAATAGCTGGTTTAGATACACGTCTATCTTTCCGAAACCCTCACTGTGCACTCTGCCAACCAAATGAACGAAAAAATGGGGATGCAAGTATTGCGGAAGCCAGCCTATCTTTCGGTGTTTTGGTACCACCCCTATCGATCTTATTTGATGTGAGTTCGAGCGTTCTAGATGAGAAGGTGATACAAAAAGCTCAACCGTCCTCAGCGAATTATGAAGATAATCTGACGTCATCATTTAACTGCAGCTCAAGTGAGGCTAATTGTACAGTTATCTATGGCAGTGAAGTATGTACCCTTTTGACGCCACCAATAAATCGTACAATACCGATACCTTTGAACTCCAGTCGGGTGACAGTGCTTACGTCACAGATGTTACAAAATCAAGAGAAAGAAATAAGACTAAACGGAAGTGTGTTTTATCTTGTGTGTCCAGATAACCAGAACCCCAAAGAATTGGAGCGGGAAGCCTCTACGACCCTTGGGCAAATAACATTTGCTGGCACAATAGTCTCGATTGTCTCGAACTGTTTTTTGCTCGTTGTTTACCTGTCTTTCAAACAACTGCGTAACTTGCCTGGAAAATGTCTCATTAGCCTCCTATCGGCAATGCTGTGCAACCACATTATTTTTCTTTGTGCTGCTAAGTTCCAACAAGATGAGCTTTACTGCAAAGCAATCGCGATCTGCCTACATTTCTTTGTTCTGGCTTCCTTTTGGTGGATGAGTGTCATGGCGTTTGATACAGCAAATGCGTTTAACGTTTATGGTTAGTATATATAATCACAGCTTTCAATGAATTACTTTTAAAAGATACTTTAAAATTTATGTAACACAACAAACACGCAGGTGTGAGGAGCTCCAAGCATTCGTCTTGTTCTTGAATTATTTTGTTCCTACACCCGCGAGTTGATAAAAGTGAAGCTATCTGTATTTGTATAAATCGTGATTCTAAAACATCTGCTCGTAGAAGATTAATCCAAAATTTCTTCCAAACTCCAAAGCGAAAAACCTTTGAGAAAATTTGACAAGCAGATCGACAAGGAGTAGGTGTAGGAGTAGTGGGACATTATGTTGGTGGTGCAGGTGATGATGTTGATGATGATAATGGTGATAGTGATGATAGTTTTGATAGTGATGGGCCTTTTTTTGCATTAGTTGATCACGTGATCAACACGTGATCAACTTTTGGTAAAAACGGAAACAGTTCGCTTTTGTAAATTTTTTTAGCACGAGCTGAGAGAACATATTAAAATTAATTAACCTGTACATTTTCAGCCGTATATCTCAAAAGTAGCGATTGTAACGGCCGCCGAAAGTTAGAAGGATTTGTAAGAGACGAAAAACTTGCCATCCAGTCACGCTTGAATGATTTTCCATACAAATCCTCGTAAATTTTGAAGTTTTCATATTGTCGTGAAATATTTCGTTGAGCATTATGGGACTCAAATCTCCTTTTAATTCATAACAGGCACTTCGACCCCTTAAACGCGAAAAGAAAGTTTAACGACAGTTTAAAAATTCCAAAATTTACAAGGAGACAATGAGAGTAAGAAAGATTATGATGATGATGATGACAATTTTTTAAAATATATTCTAAATTTTTTTAATATATTTTATTTTGTGCAGTACGTGACACAAGGAGGCAAGCTTCTGACATCAGAAAGACTTTCATCAAATATTGTATTGTTGGCTGGGCATTTCCTGGAATCATTGTGACTGTGTTCGCTGTGCTGGACTCCACTGAAACCTTCCACGTTGGATATGGTATGAAAACATTACAGTTATTAAGACTATGGCGAATAACGTCTCAATCCTCTATTAAACACCCCACTTCATCTCAAAGAAGCACTCCTTATCAGAGCAGGGGCGGATCTAGGGGGAGGGTGCAGGGGGTGCGCCCCCCCCGAGATGACCTGCGGTTTTCTAATACAACTGGTATTCTGCAAAAAAAAACTATGTGGTTTATTGGTGATGAAGTAGAGCAAGAGACAAGTGCACCCCCTCCTGCTTTCTCTCTTCTCCCTGGTGACGGCAAAGATGAGCAGCCTAAATCAACAGGGTTTTCAAATTGCACAGCTTGTAACATGTCTTTCGTTTTTTTCTATTTATTTTTTGCTTTTTCAGGAAATTCTTTGTTTTGTTGGATCTCGGATTCAACGGCTAAAGCTGTTGCCGTGGTAACGCCAGTCTGCCTCGCGTTGGCCTTTAATGCAGTGTGCCTGACGAAAAGTTTGTACGGTATCCATCGCCTGAAAAAAGTATGTCACTCGCACAATCTACAGGCAATATTATAAAGAACATTTTTCAATTGTCGTGTAATCTATCGTAAGTCAGTCATAAGGTTCTTAAAACAGTTTTTCGGATCATTTCTTCTTTCTTTTCCAGGATGCCGGAATAGCAGCAGCTAACACGTCCAGCCGTGTTTCGCTACCAATCATCTGCATCAAACTAACAGTTATCATGGGATTGAGTTGGATTCTGGAATTAATCGTCTCCAGTTGGCAACAAGCCGAATTTTTGAAATATCCTTCTAATCTGTTGAACAGTATGCAAGGTAGGTTCCATCGATTATAGTTTAAAGTAAAGCGATATCGACAAGAAATGATCACATAATTGAACTTCTATTACTTTCTTGCAGGATTTTTCATTATGTTGTGTTTTACCACTACAAAAAAAGTACTAGGGCTTCTCAAAGAAAAAATTCGCAAAAGACGTAATCCCAGGCGAAATCAAATTGAGCTGCAAACAAGCATGACTCGGTACACAGAAGGCGTTGCTGGTACATATACTCCCACCTACACGACATCGCAGTCGACGCTATGCAACTAAGCAGAATAAAATACCTTCAGGAAAACATCGAAGTTAGCTGATACCCTAACTCCATTCTGAAAGACCACCTGATGGAGTAGTAGACATTGATTTAGGGCCAAATAGGCCAGATAGGACTTAAAAAGTAGCTAGAGATGAAATCACTTCGGACTTGGTTTAACAGCGTAATAACCTAAATGACCGCATAAATAGAAATACAGGAGGAATCTTTCAAGAACTGTTCAATTTTTAAAATCTTAAGGATTGAAATTTCATTGTTGAAAATGGCGATCAGTATGATATTGAGTTTGAAATAAATGAAACAAAAATTTGAATCAAGGATATCATATACTTTCGCAATTTGTAATAATCATCGCACTTTGCAATATAGCTGTCGCAAATGTAATTAATCGTGTCGCACTTTCTCATAAAATAATTGTCGCAATTGTAATAGCTGTCCATCAAGAGTCATTATGGCTCTTGCTGTCCATGGCGTGTTGTAAAAAAATAAGTTGTCGAAATTTGTGATGCAGTCTAACCTCCACGAACGACCACTTCCACAACGACCATCTCTTTCCGGGCTTTTTATAACGGCCACTTCTTTTGGCGGACAGTCCATACATTGACTTAAAACTTACGTGACGTGTTAGTCTCCCTCGCAGCCGTTTTTTGGAGGTCACGCAACGTGACATCCAAAAAAACGGCTGCGAGAGAGACTAGTGACATGTCGGCTTGTTCGAAGTTCTATTCAGTGTCTATTACTTTTGGTGAGTTACGCGCTTGATGACGTCATCACCTTTGAATATGGCAGGGTACCATTCTTGTTTTTAAGATAATTAACTCTCAAAACGTTTATTACAAAGTGCGATGGAGTGATTACAATTTGCGACAACTTTTAGTATCAGCTTCATAGGACGTGCGAGGCTCTTACGCTACTCTTACGCTACACTGAAACGATTTTGAGCAAAAAAACTCGACTGGTTTGCAGTCTATTTATCACAAAACGCAATGGAAAGTTACAAGAGAGAATCCCATTATTATCTCTTGACAGTTATTAAAAATTGCAACAGCTTTTTTACGACAAAGTGCGACACGAAGTTTATTTCAAATTGCGACAGGTACAACAAAGGGCGATGAAATCAGTGGTCGGTTCCGGCAATTCTACTTTTTACAAAAAACGCGGATTACGAAAATGAAAAATGCCTTAAAATCAAGGTCTTTATTTGTATTTTACACTCAAAACAAAAAAAGGACACCCTTTTTTTAACTTCGACTCGCCGTTATGAAAACCTGAGAAAAGTGTCCCCTTTTCTCGTAAAAAGCGGGACATTTTTAGGATTTGTCTTCGATATAAAGTGAACCAACTTTCTTGAGTAATATTTATATCTCACTAATCACAAAAAAGCGAGAAAGGAAAATTTCTCGAGTTTTTTCAGCTTTTTGCCTTTTTATACAAAGTCGAAAAAAGTCGACTTTTTTTATCTTTCTTTGTTTCGACTTTTTGGCGGACAGTTATCAAAAAAAGGCGGGAATCCCAATCTTCGGGCCTCTTGACTGACAGCTGTCAAAAAATGGCGGGAAATTCTGAGCAATCCTGACGTTAATTTACAAGTCATTGCACACTTTGTGTTCAATGCTTGAAGATGTCGGACGTTTACATCAAGATTAAGATGGACGAGAAAGAGGTCAAACTTAAGTCTTCAACTTTAAACAACAGTAATCTGGCCATGATATTCAGGCTCGATTTAAACCAGGGGATCTACATTTCCTCCGAAGAAGGGGAGATAATTCTCCCATCAGATACTGGCTTTTACCACGTCGAGGACTTGGAGAAGACGTACTTCGTAAACGGAGAACGAATGAGTCCGAACTCAGTTAGCTCAGTTGTGCCCGCAATGCAGTCTACGTCGCTTGGTATACCTCTTTCCTACCAGAGGACGGCCAAAAGATCAAATCTCAACCCTCCGCCTGGACAGAGTGCGCAGGCCATACTAAAACGACCGACCTTCACTACGGCAAAGAAAGGTCAAGTGGCATGGAAGAAATCGCTTGTTGTGGTGGACGTGCTGCCGTCTGGAGAAATCAGAGAAAAGTTCCAGGTGCATATGTCGCTCACCGAAGAAACTTCGTCGGTCGGTGAAGTACAGAGGCTATTAAAACAGCAATTAGGCTTTGAGGTGATTCTTCTGGATGCAAAACATTTGCCTGTCATGGGTGGAGAGACCACAAACGGTAAGTTGCTTTAATTTGTTGGTTGGTTACTAAAGGGATTGAGCTCTGCGGCAGTGGTCTAATATTACCTAAAATGACCTACAAAGGTGTTGAAAATGATCTAAAATGGCATAAAAAGTGGTGATTAAAAAAAGTGACCAAAAATCCTAAAATTATTTATCTAAAGTCCTCTACTGAGACATAATCGAAACTTAAGTTTTTGCACCGTCTGTTCTGCGCCAATCAAAACTGTGTTGCTGGGCAAATTCCATGCCGAGTTATGCACCGTCTGTTCTGCGCCAATCAAAGCTGCGTTGCTGGGCAAACTAAATTTTTTTGCACCGTCAGCTCTACGCCAATCAAAACCGCATTGCTGGGCAGACCTTGAAACTTTAATACTACTTTGCGTGACTATGCGGCTAACGTGTGTAATCCAGATGTCTATCAACGTGATTTGAATGATTCGGCAGCCCAGTTCTAAAAAGTAGGTTCTGTATTCCTCCGTCGAAAATTACTAATTAAAAAAATTAAAAAATAAATAAATACGTGCAAAAGGTTTTATTTGGAAAAAGTTGCAAGGTTGCGTGCGTGACAAGAGTATAACAAGCAAACCCAGCAAAGAGTCCTAACACCCTGAACAGAACTGAAACAAGCGACAACATAAAAAATACCGCGCCTTTATCGGCGTCCTATGTTTCAGAGTAAAGTCTTCCAGAACCAAGTTTGAGTTCCAGCCGTGTTAACACCCTATGCGTAATTTCATGTAACGAGTACGGTAACAGTTGTTTATAGTTCGAATGTGGACACATGATATGTCCGTAAGTATCTTAGTACTTCCTAATTTACACTTTTCTTCTTTGCTAGAATTTATCCCTTCTCGACAAAAACAATAAAACAAGCTTAATCTACATAAAACACATAAATTGGTGAAATTTGTTAAGAAGTTACCCCTGAAAGAAAGAGTGAATAGTTCAGTGTAAGTGTGCTGCTATGACTGAACGGGGAAAGTTCCGTCCGGAAGACGTGCAATTTTCTATAGGCTAGCTAAATGTATGTAAAAGGGATTTCACGAGTCCACTTACAAATTGACCTGAATAAGTCGGACCAACTTCACTGAGAAAAACGCCAACTTATCAGTTGGACTCAAAATGAACTCAAAACTGTTTAACTATAAGGCGAGTTAGTGTATTGCAATGCTCATATTTGTCAGCAGTATAATAAATTTTAATACGGTGTAAGTTCATACATTACTAGACGATATGAAAATGTTTGTGTTAATTATCTTCCTAAATTTCCGATTAAATTATCTACTTTTACTAATTAAACTGTTGTTTAACGTAAAGTGAGTCTGAAGGGGACTTACTGAAGTAAAAACAAAACAGTTTTTTTATCCCCCAAGTCTACAACAGTGAAAATAAGTTTTGGAGCAGTTTGATTTTTGTTATCTTTTCTTATTACATTCCATTTTTTTCTGATAGGATCCCAATTTTGGAGAGGAAACCGCAAGATACTGGCAGCAAAGAAGAGCCAGCTGTCTTACCTAAGAAGGGGTAAGGGAAAAAAGAAAAAATCCAGAACCGACGATATTCTGGACAGGTTAAGGAGGATTGTATCCGAACCCGCAGAGGAGGAGGAGGAGGAGGAGGAGGACATCACAGAAATTGGCTTAGCAGGGCCATCTCACCAGCAAACCAAACAAGTGCAGATACAACAGCTCCCTGCAGCAGCAGCTGACTGTTCCACACAACAAACAGTCGAAGAAGAAGCTGCGAAAATTCTCAAGGCCATATTTAAGTGTTCAATTTGTCTCAGTGAATGTAAATTACCAGCAGCAGCTTGTGCATCTTGTTACGCCGTCATTGGTTGTGTACATTGCTTGGAGCAATGGATTGAATCAAGCAGTTCTCTTTCCAAGTGTCCACTGTGCCGCACCACTGCAGATTATGCCCTTGTACCCCTGGTACGTGAGATTGCCAATATTTTGGGACAGTCAGTCCCTAGAGCTTCTGGAGATGACGGAGGTAGTGACACCGACACCATTCCGTACGGTCGTGCAGATAATGAACAGTATCATTCAGACGATGACTTTGAAGTCCTTCCCCCAATGATGCTTTGGCTCTATTTCCAGAGTTCAGGACTGTAAACTGAAGAGTCACATATGTTTTCAGATTTAGTGCAAATAAATGTTGACTGCTTGCTAATCAGTTAAGTTGGTCGGTTTGTTAGTTTACAGTGCAAAAAGCAATCAAGTTCTTCCAGATTGCTAGCTTTGAAATTTCGGTAATTGCATCAGGTTTTAGGTAGATTAAACTTGTTTTGTAAGTTTTCCTCAGTGAGAAGGAATACAGAGTTAACTGTCGTACGAAAATGAGCATAATGTATTAACTTCATTTACTTACGTAAATCCTGCAGGACTACGGCGTATAAAACCAAATACATTCAACATGAAATCCTAGCAGAAGAAGGGACTAGTTCGTACGTTATTGTTACGAAAAGACCGCAAACATCTGTTATTAAGATTTTTGCACGTTTGCTGCGATCCTTTTGGCCAGCGGCATTCGATCCGTGGCGTCAGGAACAGGAATGATTGGTATTGAGTTTACTTTAACTTACTACGTTTCTAAATTGCTCACTGTTTCATGATATCATGATAGTACAGGTAGCAACGTTTGATTTATTAAAAAGATTTGACATTGTTAAACTGAACTGAACTCGTTGATATTTTGCATTTAACAGTCAAGGTACCAAATTTCTAGTGATTTTAATAAATGACAAGACTGCAGCGGCCATAAAGGACCCATCTCCATTTATAACGTTGCTGTAAATATCGTCGAAAGAGGGATTATTCTGTGTAAATTCTGTTTCACGTTGATTGATGAGTGCATCACTGCTTGCCAGGGGATCTACCCCAAACGAAGAATTGAGTGTTATGGTGCCTCCAGCATCAGTGTACATTTGAATAGCATCCTCGACACTTGGAACCAAAGATGGATTTACTGGGTGCACTCTACACATCCTCTGCGCAACTACTTCTGGAATTCGAGCGCTGTTTTCTGTCAAACAAAAAGAAAAAGCACAAGGAAAGAGAGAAAACGGGTTATAAATAGTAAACAGATATGACCTCGAACTAAAAAATCTTAGTAGTTGATAAAACGCGTGACGGTCAAGAACCCGTAAAGCATCTATGACATATACGTGATGAGTATATGATGGTTTACTGGAAGAACTGACATAATACAATTATTTCTTGGAAAAAGTTGTCTGCAGTTTAGAACTGCTTTACTTAAAAAGAAAGCGTTTTCTCAAATAGGAAAAACGCCTCATAAACCTTTGGAATTTTTTTAAACTGTTTCTCTCTCAGTAATACGGAACAGTACATTAATAGGTATAAAGTAATATCTTTCTAATAGTTTAATGCATCAACGACAAAACTTGTTTGACGTCTTGTTTGAGGAAGTCAGTTGGTTCTCATTCAAAGCGAACATTGTTTTCAAGGAACACTGAGTAAAACATGTTCTTGACCTAGATGTGTTCTTCTATGCCGCGAGTCTAACCTTCAATCGGATGCGAATTCCAAGATTCCTGCACCCTCCTGAGTCCGATCTCAGCTACATTCATGGTAATGAAAGATAGGCAAAATTGTACAGCAGGGTCAGATAGGTTTATCATCAGACTGGTTTCCATTCTCACAAGAACATCTTTTATCGGGTAAATGACTCGTTGATTGACTTCTGGCCACTTGCGTTCTGCAGGCAAATTCTGATAGTGGAAAAGGAATAACGTGTAGTGATAATGAGTCACAAAATACTTATAATGTCGTTATCGCGTTTATAGTACACTTAACACCGATGGAATCCTCCTTTCTACTTACCTGCCTAGACTGTGTCTGGATATATGGTTCACAACTCAGGTTCCCCCTTTCGTTTCTCAATAGGTTCTGTACGAAAAGCATCAAGCAGGCCTCTGTGCCATGGTCAACTCTTACCATATCCCAAATGCCCTCACAGAGGAGGATCTCCCTACAGAGATTGACAGGGAAGAAAAAGCGTTTCTAAAATAAATACACTGTTAATACTGCAAAAGATAGATCAGCTGAAATTAAAATTAAAAAAAATATTTCACAAGGTAAGAATAATATACAAAGAGATAATATTATTAACAAAAAAAGGTATCAAAAAAATTATAAAAATTACAACAACTAATTAAGAATACAAAATTCGTGTATCTCTTAAAAGAGGCAGAGAATGGTTTAGCGGGAGACTAGGTTTTACAAACGTAGAAGGGGAAAGTGATACCATAATCCTGATTACTTGACAAACCTGAAATGTGCATATATAATGACTGCATTTTTTTTAGGCATGGAAAACAGTTTGATGATTCTTGAGCTACAGCCATCGCTAAGTGCATAAAACGTACATCCATACATCCCCAGTTTTTCATTTTGGTCGCAATGTAGCTTGTTTCCATAGTAAAGTGCATTATAGGGAACCGGATTTCTTCGACGCACCGTGTCCTCCCTTCGTCTCGCATGATCCGCTGGATTCACACGTCTCAACGACTTCGCTACCTGTTTTCCGCTTAGTGGTAATCCCTTGCTACGAACATAGCCCGTCATCATTTTTCGCCCATAAGTTGGTCCAACCTGATATTTAAGACGAATTTGTCTCAAATAATGTAATATATAACAACACAAAGTCGAAAGATAAGTGGAATGCAGGAAGTCTTACCTCGCTCACACACTGTTGAATGACAGCATCTATCTCCGCTTCATTCAATTTGCTTATACCGTGTTTAGAACAAAATAAACGCAAGTTTCTTTCAGAGAAGCCTCTTCTTACTTCCGGAAACCTTTGCTTGAATAGATTACTGATCTCCTTGTATTTTTTGTTCGCTTTTATCTGACTCCTTATCACGTTAATATTACTTTCAAAATATTCCATAATGGTCGGCGCCAAATTCAAACTGAAGTCACAATTGATTACCAGTCGACAAACAGCGCAAAAAAAGGCGCGTCAACTAAATGTTGACAGCTGTCACCTTGACAGCTGCCAGTCGAAAAGTCCAAACAAAGAAAGATAAAAAAGTCGACTTTTTCCGACTTTTTATAAAAAGGCAAAAAGCTGAAAAACCTCGAGAAATTTTCCTTTCTCGCTTTTTTGTGATTAGTGAGATATAAATATTACTCAAGAAAGTTGGTTCACTTTATATCGAAGACAAATCCTAAAAATGTCCCGCTTTTTATGAGAAAAGGGGACACTTTTCTCAGGTTTTCATAACGGCGAGTCGAAGTTAAATAAAAGGGTGTCCTTTTTTTGTTTCGAGTGTAAAATTCAAATAAAGACCTTGATTTTAAGGCATTTTTCATTTTCGTAATCCGCGTTTTTTGTAAAAAGTAGAATTGCCGGAACCGACCACTGATTCGATGACTATTGCAAATTGCGACTACCATGGTATAAACATTAGCCTTATCATCGGATGATGATCACAAATAATGACGAAAGATGATTAGTTTTAAATATACAAAACGTCTGAGTCCGAGACTAGAGCCAAAAATTTGAAAGTAATTTTAGTAGAAACAAAACAACCTCATACCGAACAAAACTTTTTAGGCTGTTTCTGGACTTCACAATAACTGCGTTAACTACCTTACTGTCAACATCATAGCGATAAAAATCTATTAGCTTGCTAAAGTTATCTGAGAACTTGTTGAAATATTTCTCACGACGGATACAAGAAAGCAGACAAACAACCAAGTTACTCAGGCAAGGACGGAGAAATACGAGGTTGTCCCTGATTTGTAAGGTACGAGTAGCCAGCTAGAAGATATGACTCTTAAATAAAGTTGTTCAGTTCAGTAAAAAACAACGCTCCCATCAGTTCATAGATCACTATTGTCTCATTCCTTAACGTTGTTTTTGGCCTGTGTTCCTTCCATTTGCGGGTTTCTAGAGCTCACCTCAAGGGATACACCGATTTCTCAGCGACAAACCCGCCCGGCCTCCAACGTCGAATGAGATTCTTAACTCCTTCGCGATAATTCTCGTTGAGCACAAGGTATAGAATGGGATTAATGCCACTGTTTAGATGAGCCAGAAACAGACGCCAGAATAACACCTCACAGGGAACTCGGATTTTATAGGAAAACAAAATAAGCTGAATGAAAAACAGAAGCCAACATAAGACAAATACAACCACCACTATAAAGACCATGCGAAGCACCTTCTTCTTTATGACGGCGTCTCGCCTATGTTCTCTTCCCACTCCTCTTGGAACAACTTCTCCAGGAGATTTTCTGAGTCTCAGTGAAATAAAAATTCCCGAGTAGAGTATAGCAATCACCGATAAAGGTACCGCAAATAATCCAATCAAGGTGAACTGATAGTAAGTCTTCTCCGCTCCTTTGTAAAAGGCATCGTCTAGAGACAGTAAGCATCCGAGATAACCGTTTTTGCCCACTGTAATCTCTAGCCCGTACAACATCGGCAGTCGAATCGCAACCGACAAAATCCAGGTGAAAGCTATGATTATTTGGCAAGTTTTCTTTGTGATGAAAGTCTTGAGTGGGAAAACAACGGCAAAAAACCGATCGCAGCTAATTGCAATCACAGTGAATATAGAGACTGCTATCGCTGTTTGATGCATGAACACGGAAAATTTACAGAATATCAGTCCTAATATTCCACCTACAAGCCAACGATATCCGGTGAAAGAGACGGATATCGAGCGCGGCATGTACAGCGTTATAAGGAGATCTGCAATACACATGTTTACAATGAAAAAGTTGATAGTTTTCCTCATTCGCCGTACTTTCCAGACCACCGTTATTATGGCGGAGTTTCCACACAAAGACACAATTACCAGAATACAATATGTCATGACATGAACCAACTTAACAGGTGTCGAATCTCTCACAAAGCACTCTTCTACGGCGCCGTTTCTTTGTTCTGGTCGAGCTGTGGTATTCAAGCTTTCGTTTGTAGACATGACTTCGATGCGTAGGGTCTAACTTTACTATAACGCCGCCTTTAATTTCGGTTAACAAGTCTATGCAACTATTACTGAAATTCAGCCGCTTCTTGTTGGTCAATTCAGATCAATGTTTTCGTATCGAGATCAATTGATACAGAACCGATTCCAGTAGCATTTACCCAACAGACTACCGAGCGTTTGCCTTCCAATTGTCGCCGCATTGAATCATTTTTCCAGCTCTTTCATTATTGCGTTAATAATATTCCGAAAGACATTACTAACGACAACACAAATAAACCATCCAAATACAAATACATCTTTCAGATGGGTCTTAAGATATGTTAAGAACTTAAAATAACAACAACCCTTCTTGTGCCCACTGACTGGTACAGTAAAAACTTAGCGGGATATTCTTAAGTTACTATAAACGTTTGACTCGAACTTGTGACCAAACAAACTGGTGACTTCTAAATGATCGCGGTTATTTCTTAAGGGAATTTTAGACGCGAATCGCAATTAAGTTGTCTCTTTTTTCATTGGAATTGTTTGGCAAATTATCACTACATCTTTTGACAGTTCAAGGAAAGGTGCGATTTGGTCAACATTATTTACTCTTTTCTTGTTTGATGATATTTCAACGCATCCGTTTAAGAGAATTTAGCGTTTAGATATGAAATTTTAAGGACTGCTTTTGGAAGCTTCAAGCAAAAGGGGATCAGAGAGGGACTTGGTGTAAGTCATCGAACTATTTACCGAAAAATGGTCTTATAAGTCAGCACAAAAACGAGAGCACGTAAAGCCCCGGCAACTTTTGAAAAATAAAGAGGAATTATTCACAAAATATTCCGCCTACAATAAATCCGAGTTGAGTGGCCTACAGTAATTACATGCTGTGTGGAAGTTTAAAAAATAGACTAGAATTGCTTATGTGTTCATTCAAAGCAAACACGTCAGCAAAAAAATTGCGCGCATTTGCGTAATTGATTTTTAATTGCAGTGGGCAGGTTACACGTTTGCCAAAAAGTCTGAGTTTTATCAAAGCACAAGTATAAATTGTTATGAATCTATCCAAAGTTCTCACAAGCCCTGATCAACCGAATCGCAAGGTATCGCCAGGTGTCAGACTTTTACACTCTTTATTTTTAAAAAACCACAATTTATTCTTAATATGCAAGCCTGAAACGAGTATTGACAAGGTATCGCCAGGTGTCAGACTTAAACACTCTTTATTTTTTAAAAACCACAATTTAGAATTAATATGCAAGCCTGAAACGAGTATTGACACACCTTGTTTCAGTTGACAAGCACTTAATGAAATTTCGTATTTTTGCTTCGTAAACATTATAATTGGGTGGCTTGATCTTTGGACATTTTATTTCTAATAAAATTTATTCTCATCTTCACAGCCTCTTGGAGTTCAGGTAATCTGAAAATGTTGGGAATTTCGTTTTTCGCTAGTTATCACTACCTATTGCACCTATTTACTACAGCAACCAAGACACGTTTTTTCCTGGAATATTTTTCATGAGATGACATACATCATCTTCCCTTCCCTTCTCAGGACTGTTTCCAGAGTAATGAACAAATACATCTTTGAAACATGCTGTAGTTTTGTGTTGACTCTTTCCCGATTGCTAATCTCTAATTTTGCCACTGAATTTTAAACACTCATTAATAATTCATAAAGAAAAAACAATGTTTAAAGAAAAAATGTTTGATGAGTGCCTTTATATCTGATAAAGACGCGGCTAAACTTCACGTCCAATTTTTTTTAGACCAAAATAACCCCCAATCTAAATATTAGTGCAAGAATGAGTTGATCTACATTAGAGATTTTGAAGCCGTTCAAAAAACTCGCAGTCTTGTATTATCAGTTTTAAAAATTCTCGGCTTCGCCTTGAGTTTTTAAACCTGATAATATACTCTTGCTCGTTTTTAAACAGCACATAATAACCGCCCATTTGGATACAAAGGAATAGAAATAAAGGAGCCACAAAGAGTTGAGGATAAGAGATAGTGGGACTGTTCATTGAAGGATAAATGATTAATAATAATAATGATGATGATGATGATGATGATGATGATGATGATTTTCAGAAAACTTTGGGTTTATTTAAACCAATCGTCACTACACCCTTTTTTTCATCCACGGGAAACCAACTTTCACTTGCTAGCATAAACTTCAACTTTCATTCTTCCAACAGTCAATCACCAATAAACAGCGCGGAGGAGGTTTCATTTGAATAGTCACAAATAAGGATTTTATCACAGACTCAGGCGGCGCGCAATATTGTATTGATTTTGGGACGAGAAAATTCATACAGCACTCACGACACTATAAATAACGTTTTATTTGTTTTGCATGACGAGGAATGATAAGCTGACTTATATACTGCAGGAAGAACATAAGCTACATTTTAAACATAACTACCCCAGCAAAAAACCCTTATTGATTTTTACAGAGAGGGGCGTCAGACCATAAATCAAGGTTCCAAACTTGACGTCAAATTCTAAAGCATATCTAAAAGTATGGCACTATTTTTGATTCTATTTTTTTTTTTTAAAAAAAGCACCTTGACATACGGGGATTTGAACGTGCTTGTGACGTGTTCACCGTATCAGCTCGTTAGCGTTTATGCCTTTACTGTTGGCCACTCTGTACAGGATTTCCTCTTTGTGTTCATCTCACCGTTGGACAGGTAACTACAATGACCGTTCAACAGCTTTCAAAAACTCGACCACATTCGTCATGGCTGCATCATCAGAGGACACGGTGTTTTCACATGCTGTACGAGCTTTAATTCCAAACTCTTTCGCCTGAAAAGATAATTTTATAACGTGTTACAAAAGCCAATAAAACTTGGCACTCGGAGAAGTAAAAGTGCCTTTAAAATGTTTCCCTTTCAAAACACTGTGTATCCTTCAGTGTTCCAACCTGTGCCCCCGATTCGGCTCGAACATAGATCTTCTCTTCATCAGGATTCGGCTTTCTAAACACTTTTTGAAGAAAATAAGCCGCTCTACTACGCACTGCGAAGATATCTGTCTTATTAACACAGCCAGCCCATTCGGGACCTGTGCGCTGTTGTTGCGGACTACCTTAATTATTTTCGCACCTGATGACTTATTTTTCACTTTGCTCGGTTTCCTTTGTTCTTTTTACATAACCCCTCATTATTATTCACTGTCTGAAAAGTTGGTGGCGGCTTTGATTGTAACAGGGGAGCGCGGGGCTGAAACAGAAGCTGATTCCCCTTATCATATTCCCCGGCTGATATTCCCCTCAACATGTATAACCGTCGCAGTGAAACAACACAAGTCAGAATTTTGAATATTAATTTAACGAACTGACCACTTTTTCTTGGACTTCATTTTCTTCGTCGGCAATAGTCATAGCGCAATGTTCTCCAAACTAGAAATTCACTTCACCGGCTGTGTCAATTTTAAACAAATTTCACATTTCTAACGTCTACCTGCACACATGCTGCTTTGCAACGTGACTCGTCCGACGACTGACACAAAAATCTGTGGCGGTGGGAAGTCCAAAAGAGTTTCCAAAACTGCTCTGCCTTAACGTTACCTTAACGCCTTAACATTTTCCTCTGAGTTACTCATCTCTTTCGGGTAAAACTTCTGTTTGACTACTCCAAACACCTGGTACCAGGTGAATATATCACATACCCCCTCGTTCCAGGTAAATAACCATTACATCAGGGCTGCAACGTAGCCAAAAAAAAACAAAATAAACAAACAAACAAAACACGTGCTTACTTTAGGCATGTCCTCCAGGATATACTGCAACATGGCTGTGGTAAAGTATATTTTACACATCACTGCTGGAGTCTGCACCGATTGTTGTTCTCGCAGGTCTAATATGGCATTTATAACCTGGATAGCCTCGGCTTCCTGGGCTTCATCTAAAAGAAAAAAATGGCAAATTTACATGGTTCTACGCGTAGTCTAAGGGGGTTTTGAGATCACTGCTTCTCGTATTTAATACCTTACGGCTCTTTTTACAAATGCTTTGCAAGTGGACTGAAGCATTAATAAGTGTATTGGACTAGGGACAGTTAAGGATGGAAATATGCTGGAGATTGAAAAGATGGACAAGTGTTGATCACGTTCCTGGGGCTATGTCGAAAAAATTGATCATGTTTAATTATATTATGAACTTAACTGAGATTTCTAGGTCACAAATTTTGGATAATTTATTTTCGCAAAAAAATTACCACCACAATGGGTGAAATGCTTTTGGCGATGCCTCCCAAGGGAATATCGTTGTTACCCTTATCTAACTTCCCACCTCTCCAAGACTTGCAACCCCATGCATCTATCTCCGGATTTTCAACCCCAGTCCTCCATCATTTGGCAATTGTGAGTTTGCAATTAAGACGGTGTTGTGTCGAATTGCACTATGGGATTGTTTTAGGAGACGAATTTTGGCCCGGTTGGGTGTCCTGTGCAACCTCATAACAGCCAATAAAACAAGCGAGTTCCCGAGACATTCCCACAATGCAATTCGACAAACCGTACCAAGTCTTACTTGCAATCCACAGAGAGTGGTTTCTTCAACTGAGCAGATATACAGCTGCTGAACAGTGAACCTAAAAAGATTTAATAAGTACAACAAAAAATTTACCCAAAATTTCAAAGTCCGTCGGGAGACCTGAGTTAAAAGCTGGACCTATACCAGATGGCTTTGCGGGCGTCTTGGTTCGTTGACGTAATAATCTGCTAAGGTGCTCGTACCAGATATCAGTCACCTACAGACAAATGGAAACAACAGTACTAAGGATTACCTTCACATGCTACACAGAGAACTGCGCGTTTAACTAAGTTTTTAATGGCCTTTGCTATGGCAGATCCGGTGCCCTGGCTCCAGAGATCCGTTCTCAAAATACCTAATATGAAATAAACCGTGCTTACGGTTTGATAAGGCTCCAGAGACGAACGGTTATTTTTTCCTCTCGACGCCTCGCGCCTCATTGACGCGGCTTCGCCGCGAACCATCAGTATCGATAAGAAAAACATATCGTCTGGAACCCAGGGTACAGATCAGGTGGACTAGCAATCAGACAGGATTGAATCGCGTTGGAAGAACTCAGATTTTTTTCCTAGTTAAAATTCACCACCTAATTTATTTCACTGCGACGTTCCAACCCTAGTAGTATTAAGAATGTTTGTCACATAACCCTAGTCTAATGGCCCTAGCCCTCACGAGGTCTTCAATAGCTCAGTGCTTGCCAAGCACCTTGACCAGAAGGTTATACGTTCGACTGTTGTTGGGAGAATTCCGATTTTTTGTCTTTGTCATTTCTGTCACTGACAGGAAAAATATCATTCTAATCTGCTAATGTGTTTTTGTTTGACAACACTGAGAGAGAGGGTTTGGAAAACGTCTAAGTGTGGACACTGGACAGGGCTTCAGTGTGGGAAACGCGTTCATAGTTCTCACTGAAGTGACCAGGCATCTACCAAAGCAAACAGGTTCAGTGTTTGTTATTTTGTCTTTTTTAGACACAGACAAGGTATTACACCCTAGTCATATCATCATCAGTTTTTAATCCTTTAAGTTTTACAAGGTAAGAATTATAAAAACAGTAGAAAATAGGACAAGGAGAAAACATATTGTACAACGACAATAATATTAAGATTAATATTTGAAAATATTTATTCTTTGGGAACTCGGCGGCCTGAGAGCCAGCTGATGACTGGAGCTGGCTCCTGCTGATGATGATGACGACACGATGATAATGATGATGATGATGATGATGACGAAGTTGTTGCTGATAATAATGACGATGAAACAGACGACGACGATGATGATGATGATGATGATACTGATTTCATACTGGAATGGAGTAAAACCTATATTACATGGACACTCTAGGCGCCTTCGCTGGTGTACCATTGTTAGATTTGTCGCGTCTTCTTGTAACAAGTTCGCTCTCCAGAAAATGAAAATGGAAGAACAGTTTGGTTCTCACTGACGGTTATGTCCGCTTAACTCTGGGTGCAAATTTTGAAAAAATTCTGCTGTATACAAGTTCCAGTGTCTCTACGTTAAACTTATTCATGGATTCGCGCCATGCAAATTTTTTGCTTGTGGAATCAAAAATCATGGCAATTTTTGCTAGTGGAATCCGGAATAAAGCTAGTGGAATCCGGATCCCGCTAACGATTGGAATCCGAAATCCAAGAACTACTGACAAAAAATTCGGAATCCACGGTGTGGAATACAGAATCCAAGACTGTCTTGGTTTATCTTACATGGGGGGATGGATAATTTACTCATAATAAGGCAATCAATTTTCTGTGAAAATTTTGCTCCGATGAGGCGTTCAATCGTGGCAGCAGAGTTCATTTGTTTCGATCCATGAACTTTACTCTTACTGGTCTGTCAGGAATAAGAATTCCCCTTACAAATGGCTCGACAAGTTCTGCGCCAGGAGGGTAATGAATCTCAAACTGCTGAACGATTCTGGCTAACAGAAGATGGAGTTCAAGCTCGGCTATACGGCGGCCAATACACATTCGCATGCCAAATCCAAACGGGAGGGAAGAAAAAACTTCTTTGGCTTCATAAAACATGTTGCTCTTTAGGTTGTCTTTTTTATCGCGAAGCCATCTTTCTGGTCTGAAAGCAGTGGGTTGCAGAAACACGTTTTCGTCTCGACTCATGTGATAAATATGCATGTGTAGCTCCGTGCCCGCGGGGATCTGATATCCGCTTAAACTCAGGTCTTTGCTGGAAATTCGACTAAGGATCGTTAGCGGCGGATATAACCGAAGGGTTTCTCTCACCCATGCTCTGAGGTAAGGCATTTGGGCAATTGTATCTGGCGATACGTGCCTTTGTTCGCCGAGTACAGACAGCACTTCTTGTCGGAGAATTGCTTGTTTCTCTGGGTTTCTGGCCAACAGATATATAACCCACTGCATTGTATTAGAAGTTGATTCCACTCCCGCAAACAGAATATCAATCACGCTCGCAAGTAAGTCCTCTTTTGTTAGGTTTCCACTCGACAGGAGAAATTCAAAAAATCCTATTTTCCCTTCACTTTCCCTTTCATCTGGTTTCATCTTTTCCCGTTCTTCTAACTCCTTTAATCTTTGTTCGATGAACATTTCAGCATAATCGTACATTTTATCAAAGTTGTCAAACATCTTCTTGACGGGTTTCGGTTCGAAGATCTTCACAAGCCAAATCGGATAAAAAATGCTCGCCATGGTCTGCTCAAGAAATTCTCCGATGGCTGTTATGAAAGCCTGAGCGTCCTCGTTAACTTGTGCATCGAGACAGCCAAATCTCTTGTCGAACAGCATTTCCGCAACCGACTCGAAGGACCATTTAAAAAGCTCGTCGTCGAGTCCTACAACTTCATTTTCTCTCTCAGAACCCGGGCGCTCTCGAATATTTCTCACTCTATCGCAGAAAGCAGAGACAATTTCGTTGAACGCGGAGGAGTAGTCAGCAACTTCCACAGGCCGAAGCATCCGCTTGCTGATTACACTTCGGTAGTTGTGCCATACGGTATCATTGGCGAAAAACACTCCAGGTTTTTTCTTGCGTTTTTCTCGATAATAATCGAAGATAGGAGACCTAAACCGTTGCGGGTATTTCGGTTCATTTCGCAACACTGTCTCCACATCTGCAGGATCGCTAAGCTGGACGGCTTTAAAATCAGGAATCTCAATGAGGTAAATCTTCCCGTATTTTTTAATACCTTCGGCTTGTAACGGTAACATTCGTTTCCCAAGAGGTTCTCCACTGAATCCAAGAAGCAACAAAGTCCAGGCTGATTTTATTATGGGAAGATTTAAAGGTCCTGGAAGGTCCGCAAGTGTTTTGATGGAATTTGCGGCGCCTGCATCACTCGAATGATGAACAGTAGACGACATGGCCATTCTAGTTGCACGAAAAATGAAAAGACGTGGATATCTGCTAGGAAGGTACGCCACTTTAGCGGCAGTCAACTTGACTCTTGCTAAATATGCCATTGGTTCGGTTTTACCTACAAAATGTAAAAGACAAAATTCCTTTCCTATTCACATATCACATTCTGAAATAGATATAAATTGAATGCAAATGTCCGTTAGTTACGTCACACAAGCTAAGGTCATGCATACAGTTGACCAAAATACTGCTGCCAAAGTAACGCATGCAAACAAAAATACATGGCTGATAAAACGGAAAGGAAAATGGGAAAATTTCGTTTTTTATTCCAGGTTCACTCATGAAGGTACGTAACAGGGTTTTGTTTACCCAGTAGCAAAATTAATTCTCGAAAAAATATTGGCCCTAATTAGCTCCCTATTGACGCGTCCGGCTTCACGCGTCCCTGCCTACAGTAACCATTACTAATCAAAACTTCTATCATATCATTTGAGCACTCAACTGAAGCCTTCTGCAGTGGCTTCACGCGCAAAACAATTTTTTTTTCAGGACTTTACAAAGAGATTCCTTTTTTTCGAAATTTGTGAGTGGACACAATAGATCATTATTTCTCCGGTCCTGTAAAGTCTGTAAAGACTGGTACACTGAGTCAAAAAGTATTGGCGAGTAAAGAGATTTGGCCTATTTTTTTACACTATTCTTGCATTTCACATTGTTTAATTCGTGCTTTAGAAAGACTGTTACGGTCCATTGCAACGCATTAATTTGTAAAGAAGACTCATGAATTACTGCAACTTGACCAACTTGATTTAGTCAATTGGTCGGAAGGAAGTCTATAATTTGAACGACGTTTGTCGACGTTGTTTTGTCTTGATTCGTACTCTATGCCTTCGGTGTTTAATGTGAGGGTGTTAATTTCTAAAATCAAAGACAATATTTAGTGAAGATACTGAAACGAGAAACCAGAAACAAAAGCGTTGTATCAGAACTATCTTTCTCATCCCTAAATGCACACCATGATAATAAATTTGTCTCTTGAATAAAATGATCATAACGCAATCAGTTTTTAACACAACGTCATTGCTTGTTTTTGTTTTGTTTTTTGTTGTTTGTTGACATTGTTTTGTTTCATCGTTGCCAACGTTAGTTTCTGGTTCGATGCTCACCAGCAAGTCCAATACAACGTCAATTGTTTCAAGCTATTCCATTTGAATGCGTGCATAAATTTCACATGTTTGATTTCTTGTTTCTTTTCGAAAGACCTGGATGTGTTCGTGGCTAGCCTGTGTACAGACCCCCCCCTCCCCTCAGGAAAAATCGAAGGCCTTCTCCAATTTTTCTAGAGGGGAGGGGAGGGGGGGGTCTGTACACAGGCTAGTTCGTGGCCTCAGCTACCATGAGTCTCCTTTAGCTCAGGGGTACATGATCATCTTGAATAGTAAATGTCATGGTCTGCCTGTGGTCTTCAGTCATGTGATCAGAAAACATGTGCTTGGTTGTTGTTGTATTTCTGGGCGGACATTTAAAGGTTGAATGTATCGCCAGCGTCCTTCTTAAGTGTTTGGGACCGCTATCGTTACAGTAACCAGATGGGGTGCTTGCAATTTACACAAACCACCCACCCGGGGAGAAATCGTGTGCATAAACATCAACTGTAAAATTTAACGTGGTTAGGTTGAGGAACGACCCGCCACAAAGTTTATCCAAATCAACTGAACAACCTAAAAAGACTAGAAAAATGGCATTGCCTCAAATCACAGGCCATGTTTTCCGTTTTCCTTTTAAGCGGCAGCTCCAACGTACATAAGTAAGTTGTAGCTGTTGGTTGGGAACCGCAAAACAATCCTGCAGTAACTATTATAGCGCGAAAAAGACGGAAGCTTTCTGATAATACGCATACTTGGGCGGCATAATTCTTCTAAAATCTAGCACAATGATAATAACTTGCAGTGACAATGAAAACTTTCTTCTAACTTTTATTCTTATAAGGTCTGTCGCAGCAAATGCTGTTAAGTCTAATCGTTCAGACACGAGCTGTCGCCTTTTGCACTGGTTCTTTACCATTCAATTTAACATTGAAAACTGTCAGTACACTTTCCTACTTTCATTGTCACTTGGGCAAATTCCGATGCTGGTAATATAGGCTGTGTTTACAGAAGAAGACATTGATTGTTCACCCCTTGAGCAACACGTACGACGAGTTACTAATCTTGAGTGTATCCGCGAGTGAGCATCCCGTAAAAAGGAAACACAGGTTAGGGGTGTGGCATTCACATTTCAGTAAAACTCGCCGAAGACCTGTGTTCTATGGCGTCATTTACACACTTACATGATGATGATGATGACGATGACAATGGCTGTGACGTTGATGTTAGTAATGACGATTCAATGCCTGGAATGTACGTAGTGAAAACTGTATTAAGCGGACAGTCGAGACCCTCGCTTGTGTCCTCTTAATACAGGTGTCCGTTAAATACAGGTTCTTTTTAAGATTCAAGAAACGTTTGGAGCTCACTGAAGCTTAATACGGTATGTGCGGTTCATATGGGGCCCACTAAATACTGGATGCTTACTATTTACACAAACGATTCGGATGGAAATGGCATGAATAGCCATTTAACGATTATATAACCAAAACTTCCGTAAGCGACCAGCCAAAATTTCCCGTTTACACGGGTAAATGGTAAGCGGCCAAGTTTCACTGTATCTAGATTACGGATGGGTAATTTACTCAAGAAACAGCCAATCAGTTTAATGTGAGAAGTTATAGCATAAGAACAGCGTCCAGTCGTGGCGGCAGAGTTCATTTGTTTCGATCCACGAATTTCACTCTCACTGGTCTGTCAGGAATCATAAGCCCCCTGAAAAAAGGCTCCACATCATCTGCGTCAGGAGGGTAACGAATCTCAAACTGCTGAACGATTCTGGCTAACAGAAGATGGAGTTCAAGCTCGGCTATACGGCGGCCAATACACATTCGCCTGCCAAATCCAAAAGGAAGGGAAGAAAATACTTCTTTGGCTTCAACAACCTTACTGTTTTGTAGGCTGACTTTTTTACCACGAAGCCATCTCTCTGGTCTGAAAGCGTTGGGCTCCTCAAATACATTTTCATCTCGACTCATCTGATAAGGAAGCAAGTGCAGCTCAGTGCCTGCGGGGATGTGATACCCGCTTAAAATCAGGTCTTTGTTGCTAATTCGAATGAGGATCGTAACTGGCGGATATAACCGAAGGGTTTCTCTTACCCAGGCTCTGAGGTAAGGCATTTGGGCAATTGTATCTGGCGATGCATGCTTTTGTTCGCCCAGTACAGACAATACTTCTCGTCGGAGAATGGCTTGTTTATCTGGGTTTCGCGCCATCATATAAATCACCCACTGCATTGTGTTGGAAGTTGTGTCAATTCCACCGAATAGAATATCAATCACGCTCGAAAGCAAGTCCTCTTTGGTAAGGTTGCCACTCGACAGGAGAAATTCAAAAAATCCCACTTTCCCTCCACTTTCCCTTTCCTTTGGTTTCATCTTTTCCTGTTCTTCTAACTCCTTCAATCTTTTCTCGATAAACATTTCAGCATAATCGTACATCTTATCAAAGTTGTCAAACATCTTTTTCACGGGTGTCGGTTCGAAGATCTTCACAAACCAAATCGGAAAAAAAGCACTTGCCGTAAAGTGCTCAAGAAACGCTCCGACGGCTATCTTGAAAGCCTGAGAATCCTCGCTAACTTGCGCATCCAAACACCCAAATCTTTTGTCAAATACCACTTCGGCAACCGACTCGAAGGACCAATTAAAAAGTTCCTCGTCGAGTCCTATAACTTCATTTTCTCTCTCAGAACCCGGGCGCTCTCGAATATTTCTCACTCTATCGCAGAAAGCAGAGACAATTTCGTTGAACGCGGAGGAGTAGTCTGCAACTTCCACAGGCCGAAGCATTGGCTTGCTCATGACACTTCGGTAGTTGTGCCATACGGTACCATTGGCGAAAAACAATCCAGGTTTTTTCTTGCGTTTTTCTCGATAATACTCCAAGATAGGAAAATTAAGCCGTTGCGGGTATTTCGGTTCATTTCGCAACACAGTCTCGACATCTGCAGGATCGCTAAGCTGGACGGCTTTCACTCCCGAAATCTCAATTAGGTGGATCTTGCCGTATTTTTTAATACTTTCGGCTTGTAACGGTAACATTCGTTTCCCAAGTGGGAATCCAAGAAGCAGCCAAGTCCAGGCTGTTTTTATCACGGGAAGGCTTAATGGTCCTGGAAGGTCCGCCAGTGTTTTGGTAGAATTTGCGGCGCCCACCATGCCCACCTCTTTCAGCTCTTTGCGCGAAGGATGAACAGTAGACGACATCGCCATTCTAGTTGCACGAAAAATGAAAATCCGTGGATATCTGCTAGGAAGATACGCCTCTTTAGCGGCAGTCAATTTGACACTTGCTAAATATGCCATTACGTAGAAAATGTAGAAGACAAAATTTCTTTCGTATTCAAATATCACATTCTGTAAGGGATATTAACTAAATGCAAATTTCCAGCTCTGTTACAAAAACATTTGGATAGCATATTGCTGACAAAAGTCACGCAAGGCAAGCAAAAATACATGGCTGATACAACAGAAATGAAGATAAGAAAATTATTTATCTTTTTTTATTCGAGATTTATTTAAAAAGACACGTGAGAGGGTCTCTTTTACCCAGTAGCAAAACGAATTCTCGTATGTGGTAAGAATTTTGGCCCTATTCATGCCCCCGGGTTCACGCGTTCCTGCCCAAAGAAACAATTACTACTCAAAAATTCTATCATATCATTTGAGCACTCAACTGAAACCTTCTGTAGTGTTTTCACGCGTATAATAAATTTTTCCAGGATTTTACAAAATGGTTCCTTTTTTTCAAAATTGGTCAGTGGGTACACTCGCTCTTTATTTCTCCGGCCCTGTAAAGCCTGTATAGGCTAGGACATGTACATCCAGCCCGGGGGGGAGGGGGCGTACTCGACCAATATTTGGGCATGGGCGAGCCGCTGAGGGTTTGGAACCCTGACCTTCTAGCAAATCAAATTAATACCCGTACCCTGTCCAGCGGCACATCCCCCCCGTATAGGCCATATAAAGGAGTATCCCCCACCCCCACCCCCCAAAGGAAATCCAGTCAAAATGTATTGGCGAGTCAAGAGACTTTGCCTATCGTTTTACGTTATGCTATTTTTACATTTCACATTGTTGAATCAGTGCTTTAAAAAGACAGTGATGTCTATTGCGAATGCGCTATTGGTCGGTAGGAAGTCTATAATTTGAACTTTGCCTGGACCTTTGCCGACGTTATCAGTTTTGCCTTCATACTCTGAGCGTTGGGTCTGCGGCAGGACTTTTCCGCGGGTGGCGGGTGGCGGGTGACGGGTGGCGGGTGACGGGTAGCGGGTAGCGGGTAGCGGTTGACGGGTGACGGGTGGCGGGTTTAAAATATATATGAAAATAAAATATTATAATAAAATATTATTATTGATAATGATATAACTGTATGTTGTAATTTAAAAATAATTTCAACGTTTATGTACTAGCTACCAGACTCCAAATAAAAGTATTGTCTTGTTTTGTTTTATCTACTTACGCGGACTAAAAAGAAATTATGCCTGTGAAAACAGTCACCTCTCCTTGCTCCGCACCGCAAGTGACGTTTCGTCAGGCTACATGCGGTGTGTCAAATGAAAACGAACTATGTCAAGCAAGACACAGAGCACTTGTCGATCTTGTTTGTCTAGTTTGCTTTTTCTTCCACATCAAGACGAAAGATGACTGCACTTCCCCAACTGTTTAGCCGTGTTTATAACAGACTGCAAGAGATTCTATTATTCTACACGATATCGCATGCACGAGATAGCTTGAGGAACTCATAAAAATTAAAGTAATATTTATCCCGCGACCAGAGTTGGGATAAACATTGCATTGCCCTTGGGATAAATCTTTGTCAATTTGGTTGGTAGTTTAAAATGTATTCAAACTTCAGCAACAAAGGGTTAATTCAGCAAATCAAAGACGTTTTTTAGTGAGGATACTGAACGAGAAACCAGAGACAAAAGGAACGAACGACTTGAGAGTTAAACTCTAATATGCAGTGATTAGGGTTAAGCACTGAACTGAAAACGGTTAGTTTTCAAATATTGTATTGGGATATGTCATAAATACATGTATATTTTTAAAAATTACTGGAATTGGCAGCTAGTCCTCGATGGTAAAGTGAATTTTTCAACCCTCGGTCAGGCTTGTAAATTAATGTAATAGTTATTGTGTCACCCCTTCAAAGTCACGGTTTTTTTCTTTTTGTTTTTCGGGGTTTTAAAAAAATCTGTTTTGGAAGATTAAGTATAAAAAATAGACCATAATGATCATGGGCATATTTAGGGGTGCTCCAAGGGTACCTGGCCCTTTTCTGTGAAATTTTGTACTGAATTCTCAGTAAACAAAATAGTATCTAAGTAGCTAGTAAGTCTCCCAACTCTTTCTGAATTTCTGGGTTCTTCCCCTAATGATGCCAAACTTGCTCCTTTTCAAAGGATAAAATATATGAAAACGAAAACCGTGTGTATACCTGAACCCCTTTTTAATCATGGTAACCAAGTTAGCCTGTACACAGATGTGTTATTTTTCTTTTCAATAATCGGTGAGCGTGAGCACACGAGAGCGAGCACTAGCAGTCAATAAATCTCCTGCTTCTTTCATTTTTTATCACCCGTGCTCGAAGGAGTTCTAAGGAGAAAATAGAGGGTGTTTGAACAGGCTATAACCAAGTCAGTGTGTTTCTCTGGGAAATTTTCCAGGCCGGTAACCAAGATTCAGAAACGTGGCTAGCGCTAGCACTCACTTTTTGTTTGTTTGTTTGTTTGTTTGTTTGCTTGTTGTTCCTGATAATATCTTTCAAATAACAACATTTTGCAGTTTGGTGGCCTGGGATAATTATTTCATTATTTCAGTGTGTTAAAAGTAGTCATGCACGAATAGCATTAAATCACTCTAACTAGAGCAGTGTTTACCTGATTATATAACGAGAAAGCAATATCCAGCTTGCTCTGTCTGTAAAACACATTAGCCATGTGAAAATAACCCCCAGATGTTCTGATGTCATCTGTGCCATGAACTCTTGATGAGTGGTAAATCTAATGTGTAAAGAGTTCAAAAGTCAAGCCATTGCACTGCCTCTAGTCTATAAGATAGACACCTCTGTACATCAGACACCTAGAGTTGGCCCCTGGCTTTCTTTACTCCCTTTATTTGACTCTCTGTCAGACAGACACCTCTGTTAAACAGACATCTGGAGTTGCCCCCACCCCCTTTGTTTGACCTTCTGTAAGATGGGCATCTCTCTAAGATGGACACTTAATACCAGACCCAAAAATGTCCGCCTTAGAGAAAATTGAAAGTACTACTAAGAATATAACTAATAAGGTATAAAGGCAATTCTTTCTATAAATCTGGGCATGGCAGGGGGTAGGAGCATGGGCAAACAGGGGGGAGAGAGGTACAGGAGGAAGGAGAGGAAAGACCTGGAGGTGGGAGTTCTAAAAGGGTGGGAAGTGGGAGAAATAGAGGGAAATTACACACCACTGCTTAATATTTTGCAATCAAAAAAAAGCTGAAAGGAGGAAGCCAAAAAAGGGGCCCAAAGCAAGGTTTGAAAGGTGGAAGGTTTTCATATCAAATTACAGTGTATAATTTTATAGATGAGTGACAATAAAATCCCGAGAATTTCAAAAGGCAAATGTCAAATGTCTTTTCAGAATTGATTTACTAAAAAAGAAATTGGGACTTACATCATCTGCTAGTTGTGAAAGAGCATCAGGATAGTTTCCCTGTGCAGCATAAAGGAGTCCCAAGTTTCTGAAAAGCTTTGATTTAATGTCATCAGTGCATTCTGGAGTCTTAAGAACTGTCCACTGGGCCTGAGCTAAATATTCCTCAGCTTGAGATAAGCGACCAAGGCCTGAAGAAAGAAAGAAACAGGTCCATGTAAAGACAATCAAGAGCTGACAATAATCAGTCTTAATTCAAGTGTTCATGAATGTACTTCATTTTAGAAAAAATGGCTATGGATGATGTTCTAGACTCCCCCAGAGAGATACCCAGGGAGGGCAGGGGTTACCTAGTACATAGGGAGCCCTTGAGAACTAACTCATCAAACCCACAGGATACCCGTCATAAAAGTTTCGTACAAAAATATAATTATTGTTGCTGTAAGACCCAGTGGTAATTAATACTAAAGCACAGCCCAAACTAAGATGCCAGTATGTTATTACTTATGTAATCATTATGTTCCAGGAAGGAGACTTTGCGTGTCAAAATGCAAGCAAATCCTTCTTCTAGAGCTGACTATTGTAAAAAACAATTTCACTCCCAGAGTCAAAATTTTAAAAAATGGCACCATCAAATTGTAAAACATGTATCTGCCAAAAAGGCTTTCTTTCCATAGAATTCTATTCCACAAACTTAAAAACTGAGAAAAAAGTTAAATTTCTGCCCAAACAAGGTGTTCATTAGGCATTGGAGATCAGAGGATTCTCCGTTTGCTACGCATAATTCTCTGGCAAATGTTTGGTAGCCTGTGACTATTTTATATTCAGACGTGTAGCCTTTCTCCTGCTCCTAGAATTCTTTGATGAAAACCCTGCTAAATTTGGCTCTGAGAATCACTTCATTATACTGACCTATACTGGCCTCTCCAAGAATAAGATAGGACGGGACAAGCTCGATACTGCTCAGACCATAAACTTCAATGGAGAACTTGAGAGACTCCAGAGCTGCAGGAACCACTCTGTCATATCTTCCTTCAAACAACAGCTTCTGTCCCTCTGTTCGACATAGCTCAATCATTTGCTTCTGTAATATTAGATATGAGATAAAGAAAAAGTGAATTAGTTTGCACAATACTCATACTGCAAGTTATCTTTTTTCTGGCCAAAAAGGAAGTGCCCCATGTGAAATCTTTCTCTAAAATATATTATCCTTTCGTCACATCTGCATAGTAGTGTAGCCACATCCAGGCAATGAGAAGGCTAGCCTAGGAAAACAGAACATTTTCCAAGTAGAGTGGGGGAAGGGTGGGGACTAGTGACTTGAAGTGGGGAGACTGGCTCTCCTCTTAGTAAGTCATTCTTTGGTTTTCCTTCTGCTTTTTTTTTTTTTTTTCAGAAAAAGTAATTGTGGTTGATATGCTAGCATTGACTGCATGGCTAAGTCCAGTTTGAGAAACAGCTCCAAACTGACCATAATGTATTGCAGAAACTCTTACAAAAAATATTTATTAAACATATTGAATTTTAAATAACAATTGTTGAGAAACTAGGATGCCCTTTTAATAA